AAACTCCTGACAATAGCCTTCTCATTTTCAGGGCATAACTTGGCGGTACTGTGCAGAGATTGGAGCTCTTTGTTTAAGTCATTCCTGGCCTGTGCGCTGTCTCTGAGGTACTGAAGGAGGTAAGAATTAACCTGCACTTCATGCTCTTCACCACCAGAGGGCAGACTTTGAGCAGGAGCAGAAATGGAGCGATGCTGTTCAGGCAAAAATCATAACACACAATCATAATCACATAATTCAGATTAAGTAGACATTACAGAAATTACAGTATGCAACTTTCTGGAGGCACAAATCACCTGCAGGCTTCCAAGAAACATTTAAACAACTTAAAACTAAATTCAAATTATTATTATTATTTTTTTTTCCATGTTCATGTAAAATATGAAGTTGTGATTAGGGAAGCAGGAGTGAAATTAAAGGTTCACTATGTAACTTTCTGGTGTAGGGTTTCCATAGAGATGTTATTGAAATGTACCACAAAATAAAATGTAATGCATGTATTCTATTACAAGTGTTTTATTGCTCAAAATCCCTAGGAAAACATGCATCCTTATGTGTGGGCTTGTCTCTTCACAGATCTGACCTGTAACTTGGTCTAGTGGCGCCTCGAGCTGTAGTCGATTAATTGGCCAGTGGAATCTTAATTATTAGTTATTTTAAGATTATAAGGATATATGGAGAGAACGTATGGAGTGACTTTTTGGAGTTGCTGGACAGTTTAATCTACCATTTCACTTTTTTCAAGTCAAAGCAATAACATATCCATGGAGACAAGCGGGTGACAGACCCTCCACCAGAAGTTACACAGTGCACCTTTAAGATAACGATGGAACCTGCAGTGAATTCAAATAAGAACATCTTTGTTAAATATCTGACCAGAGGAGAGGCTGCCAGCTCTTGTTTGGGGCTGGACACTGCAGCGGAGATGGGGCCAGAAGCAGTGGGTCCAAGGACTACTCCGAACACTCAGAACCAGAACAGAACCAGCCACCTCCACCTTGTGTTCACTCCTCTCCAGGACCTTCTCCTGAGCTGTGACAAAAACACATCACAGAAAACGTTTAACATTTCGATTGTATAAAGATGATTAAAATATTCAAGGAGACCTTTAATCTGGCCCTCAGATGATTTTCTACTAAAATAGAGCCGCTTAGCCCTCTGTGCGTGACTCCTCCCACCAGAGCAGCACAAATTAAGACTTGTCTCTTTCCAAACGCTCTTAAAGGACAATCGTTTTGACTGTTGACCGTGACACCCTCATCAGCAAAATGTCAAAAATGAGAAAAGTGGACACCGAGTGCAGGATTTTCCAAGAAAAATTGACTTATTCCTACTTGCACACAAGTTCATGTTAAAACATTGTGTTGAAATTGCATTTTTCTTAAAGTTTCAGGTTGTTCGTATTATTATAATATTTTGTAAAAGCAAGAGTTCATCAATTAAAAAAGATTTCTGTAATAGATTTGCGTTTCTCTGCCCAAATATTTGAACTTATTGTTATTTTTGGGGTATATATGCCATGAGTTTTCTGATCCAGCCCCTTTGGGATCAAAGTAGATTGGATACGGCCCCCGGACCAAAATGAGTTTGACACCCCTGGTCTAAACCAAGAATAAAACCAGGTCTAAACAAGACTAAATTTAAACTAGGACTAAACAAGGTCTAATCCAGGACTAAAGCAGGTCCAAACCAGGTAATAGAGATAATTAAATGTATTGCTTTTTATTTCACTGTGCTTACAATTGTGATTCATAAGACAATGTGCAAGTAAACTTAATTACTGTAAACTTTAAGAAAATAAAAACTGCAAAAATTATAGACCTAATTAAGAAGAGGATAGTTAAATGAGTAATATTTTTACTTTTTTAATTAATTAATTGATCGATTAAATAATGAATTAATCATTGGATTTATATAGCACCTTTAAAGACAGTACTAAATTACAGTTCGTTGTTCATTCACTTCACACTTCAGTGGTGGCAAGCTACAAATAAACTTATTGTAGCCACAGCTGCCCTGGGGCAGACTGACAGAAGCAAGGCTGGTAATCTATGACATCAGCTCCTCTGACCACCACCAACACTCACACAGCTTTCTTACTAGGCATACTAGGCAATGTAGGTAAAGTGTCTTACCTAAGGACACAACGACAGATTTTTATTTATTTTTTTCCTCTGGCGCCTCACTGTGGCACCTGGAATTCCCGGCGGTCTCCCATCCGAGTACTGCCCATTCCCGGATTTGTTTAGCTTCTGAGATGTGACGAGATCAGGCTTTGACAAACCGGTATGGCCGCACACATTTTGCGTAAAACAGCATGGAGGTAATACATGGCTGCTGACATCCGTAGGTGTGGTCGAAGGCATTTTTTCTTTCTCTTTCAGAATTTACATGACAGTCATTTTTATTTATTTATTTTTTTACAAAACAAAATGGTCATAACGTAGCCTAAATAATAATAAAAAAAAAAAATAGACGTTGTAACCGTAGTGATTGAATGAGTCTTACCTTTTCGGTCTTTAAAATCAACTTCTGTAAACTTTATCAGAGACTTTTGTTATTGAAGTGCATTCTCCCCCTCCAGATTTGCGACGAATCTGAAAATAATTTTGGATTTTCTTCTTTTGCTCGTCGTCAATTTCTTCGCATTCAAAATAAACGGGGTATGGCATTAACTCGGACATCGTGATTACATTAGAAAGTAGGGCTTTTAAGGAAATTTGTTGGAGTCAAAATACGGCATAAGCTAGCAGGTAAAGCAGCGGAATATGAACTTTTACTTTCAGTTTGGGTGCAGAAATATTGTAATCGCGCCCTCTAGCGATAACAAAACATAGAAGATCCTTAGAAGACGTGCAAAGACAAGCAGCCTGCATTATAAAAGAAGAACAATGGTCTATGCCATTATGTAGTGCATTAAAGGTCGTGTATAGACTTACCTGGAGTTGTGTTTTGTTTCATTCATACGTCTCATTATTAATCTGCCTATACATCTCCAAAGCTCAAAATACTCTGTTTGATGATGTGATGTCCTGAAGTGGTAGTTTTCAAGTTCAGCAGATTGGAAATTCTGGTCTGATTGAAATTATCCAAATGGTTTTAGTGAAGGTGCATGGAGATTAAAAAGACGGTGGAGCACTTCCTGTATTACCACATGACATCACAAGAAGGAACACAGTCTTATTTGTTTGAGGAAGAACTCAGCCTAAATATGCAGAGTTTGTGCTGTGACGACCTCAGCCTGGGCTTTGTAGGCCTCCCTGCACATGCATATTTGTGTGTTGCTGCTGGTTCTCTCCCTGACCTTTCCAGCTTCCAGAGAGTGGGATTGTTTGCATCTTATTTTTAATAAATATATATTTTTTTGTAAATCCTTTTAAACCTTGAGCTAGTTAGTGACAAATGGGGACCTACACTTTTGCTTAAGTTTGTTTGTTTTTGACAAATGGGTTCTTGTGGTTGAGCTCAAGGCCACTCGTTTCTGACTTTGATTATTTGATCTTTATGCTTTCTCTGGTAGGTGATATAAGGATCATCTGTTTAACAAACTTTGGTAAGTAGTAGAGCTAGCTAATGCTTATTTTGTTCCCATTTACATTTTGGTATGCTCTGTTAGGTCCAGTGAAAAATATTTTTAAATTATTATTATTAAGTATTCTATAGTTGTAATGTAAATGATGTGAACATTATCAACTGTCCCCACCAGGTCAACGTGATATATTCAACCTGCTGGACATTTCCCCCTCACAGTCTGTATCAGGCCAATCAAGGACAATGAGGAACCCAAACTCTAATTTTTAGGGACAGTTATTTAGTTCCAGGTCTTGGCAGGACTATCTTCATGCAACATGTTATGAATTTCCTTGAGGATAGATGTAAACCATGTCAAACAGTTGTGATATCCACAACACCAACATGTTTTCCATTAAACACTCAGACTAAAATAAAGTGGAGCAATTGTAAATCATGGTTCTGGCTTAACTATAAATCACTTTTTATTTGAGAGAATTCTGCTCATCATCTTCTCCTCAAGGTGTAACTTTTACATAACCCTCTTTGGTCATGTGACTATTCACAGTAAACATGTGATATTGCACACATTTCACCATGACCCTTTATTCTTTTAGAAAGTACTGAAAATACATTGATAATATACACAGTAACAAATTTAGAGCATCAAAAGTAGTAATTTTTTTGGGTGAGTTCTTTGGTGGGTTGAAAGGATGTGTTCTAACTTTCTTTTCCATGGAATCATGCAGGTGACGTGCCACCTCCATAAAGTTGCATACTGTATTAAGACGTTTTTTCAAGAATTTTATATTAAAGTATAACATAAGCAGATCGTTATACAATCGATTCCACATTAATTTAACATGTATGTATGTTATATGTATTCAGGTTAAGCAGCACCTATGTGCCTTAATGTGCATATAAAGGACACAGACCAGTTTTGGTTAGTTTATAGACAGGCCTCATGTGAAAGTTGACAACCTCCACTTCACTCACTGAGCTGCAGAAGCTGCACTAGCACTGTACTTTTATGAACAACTAGTTTTATTGATGTATGGTTCATTCTGATTTCTGTTTGTGGGAACTGAAACACCCCCTATGACGACATCAACTACTTTGTCATCATCCCTATTGATTTTGTAATATAAAAGGGTCTTTTTTAACCATGTTATAACAGTGTTCCTTTATTTGCTATGTTTCAGTGCGTTCATGTATGTTTTGAGTAATACTAAGAAAGTACTGTTCTGTGTTTGAGGTTTGAGTGCTCAGAAAATATCTGTTTTAACCTACCTGTCTCCATCCCTCTTCTTACTTACACTATTTAAAAAATAGACTTTATATTATTGAGTTGTTTTTATTCCTATTAAGCTTTTAAAGTTCTTATAATGCTGTTCCCAAACAGTTTCCTGTAATTGTGCATTTGCATGTTTCCAGTATTCTGGGCTCAACAAACATGGAAAAATAAGTGCTATGTTCCTCTTAGTGTCAAAACACACATTTTCATATTCAAATTTCGAATACAGAGCCTTTTGACATTATATCTGTTTATATAACTGTAAAGCAAGGAGCACTGAAGCAGGTCAGAGAGACAGCAACCAACAGCAGGTGAGTACTTTCTATAGACTTGTTAAAATCTACATATATACTCACATGTACTCACATGAAACTAAATTTACAATGTACCATCATGATAATATAATGTAACTCAATGTAGAGAAATCTAAGTATCTAGATTACAGAAGCCATGTAATAGAATATGTAGGTATTCAGTATCCTGTACATACATTAATGTGGTGTATTTTCAATAAAAAAAAAAAATAATAATGTAAGAAAAAAAAATGATGTGACATTTGTAACATGAATTTATTTGTTTTATTATTGTATTTATTATATATGTTTTGTATGGTTTTTTTTTTGTTTGTTTTTTTTTGAGAAAATTCATCAACTTCATCAATTTGACATGAACTGAATTCTTACTATTTGCCTTTCAGGAGAAAATGGAGCCTCTTCTATTTCTACTTGTGTTTGGTATGTGTGAACATTTATTTATTCCCTGTCATGACTCAAAACACCTCTCATATTTAGACATCTATTATAACAATATGTCATCATGAGTCTGACTTTGGACTGCAAGATGAATCAGTCAAATTGAAATCAAATCAATCAAATAGCAATTTTCATTTGATGTATTATAATCATCTAAAACTGTGGCATTTTCTTGGTAACAGAAATAAAAATCATACACTGCCATGTACTAATTTTAATTACGTTTTCAAAGTTAAAAAGTGTTTAAAATGTGCACTGAAATCCTACCACATTCAAATTACTTAGTTTACATATTGTACTTATTTATTTATTTATTTGTTTATTTATTTATTTATTTGACTTATGTATGCTTATATTTGGAACCAGTCAGTGTCCTGATGTAGACCTGGTTTGGTCCTGTTCTAAAACTGGTTTAGTTTAGTCCAGATTTTTATGTGGTGATCGTGCAAACACACACTCTGAACCAGAGAAGCAATGTCTGGAGTGAAGCTATCATAGTTTTATTGTGTGATTATGATGGTCTTTTCTCTCTTTATAGGTCAGATCTCTTTCTCAATGTCTGAATACCCTGTGTACCACTTCATTGAGGAAAAAAAACATGGCATGAAGCTCAGGAGTACTGCAGAAAAAATTACACAGACCTGGCCACAGTCAACTATATGACAGACCTGGAGAGACTGAAAAAAGTTGTAAACGGAGGAGGAGGCGTATGGATTGGACTTCATAAAACCAGCGACAACCTCACAGACAGGAAGTGGCACTGGTCTCAGCCTGGAGTCAAGTACAATGAAACAGAGGCAAACGGTGGAAAACAACGGAGCCAACGTATAATGGAAACACCAACATTTCGTGAAAACTGTGTTGTGGTCAATAAGAACAATGGTCACTGGAATGATACGAGCTGTTCAAGGAATGATAAATGTTTCTACTGTGGTAAGTTTACTCCCTGCTACTAAACACAGGCCCACCTTTAAACACCCAATGTTAAAGACACTGCACTTCCAATATCCCTTTATTTAATTCATGTCCTTATTTGGCCTTATAATAAAGATAATCATCATCATCACAAAAAACAGAAAGCATTTATTCATAAATATATGGTCAGTTTGGATCCTTCCTTTATTAACTTTGTGTCAAAGTAGCAATGGAGCCTATAGGTGATGACAAAAGTTAAATTAAACGCACAGTTCTTTTTATTTTTAGTACATGTTACAGCAATAATTAAAAGGTGCTCTGTGTACCTGTGAGGCTCCATGGAGATGTTACTGCTGTGCCGGGAAGGTTCGACAATATGGTTTTAATAATCAGGTAAAACTATATAGATTAATTAAAGGGCCAGGTCTGTGGAGAGACAACCCCGGTCATTGTAAAAACACATGCTTATCCTAGTATTTTTGAGAAATAAAAACTATATTTGAATAAATGAAAGACAGATATGTTTAATGCCATACTGTGAAACATTCCATGCAAATATTTCAAGCCATCAAACACCAGAGAAGTTATAGTGCAAATATAAAATGATTGTAATGTACATGGTATCTGCCCCTATGACAGTCTTTACGTTAAACTTGTATTTGTATAAATGTGTATTTATAGTAAACAGTATTTTCTCATTCCACAGTGTCGTCCAATGGTACAATTTTTCCAGGCAGTGATAAAATGACCTGGTTAGACGCTCAGACATACTGCAGAAAAAATCACACTGACCTGATCAGTGGAACAGATCAGTTAAACTTGATTCACACTTCTATGATGACTGGAGAGGATATTACTGGATTGGACTTTTCAGAGACACCTGGGGCTGGTCAGACGGTAGTGAGTCTTCTGTGAGAGTGTGGGATCAATGGAAGGAAGTTTTATTAAACAATCCAGATCAAAATAAAAAAAAATGTGCAAAACTGAGAGCAAACAACACAATGGAGCTCGAATCTTGCGAAACGAGAAATTTCTTCATCTGTTATGACGGTAAGCTCTATGATGTGGTAAGACATGTAATCTCTGCACAGACAGGGGTGTGGGGCTGGGGGTAAAGGGTGTTTTCACAGGGGCCAGTGCAGCGAGGGGCCCCTCACAAAGACTGTAAATGTGCATTCTTGATTAGACAACATGTGGGTCGTGTGGGTGTGATTAACCAGACCCTAGAATTTGGTACTTGGTTGCATTTACATCCATGGGAGGGGTTCGACTACTCATTTAAGTCACCATCATTATATTTTGCGTAGGTTTTTTTTTTTTTTTGGGGTGAAATTTTACATTTTATATCTTGGTTGGACAAGGGCAACAGATGACATTCTTGAATGAATTTCATAGCTGTTTCTTAGCAACCATAATAAACAAGGGCCAACACTGTACAGTATTTATGTTTGAACTAGTAAAAATAAATTATATAACACCAATAGTTTGTTAAATTAAAAAAAAAAGGTTTAAACTGCCACAGATAGATATTCTGATTTAGAACTCATCACTACTTTCTGCTGTTGCAACACAAAAGCATATTCCCAACTTTCAGAGGCCAGAGCATTCACTTTACACTAATGCTAACAACAACTACCATGTAAACAGTGCACTTCCTGCTTTTCAGACAGTAAGATGCTTTAGAATTGAGCACAGAGAGTACACAGCTGGCTTATTCTAATCTCTAGACCTGCGTGTACAGTATCTATGTACTGGGGCAAGGCACATTTTGCTCAAATACATAGAAAACATTTGGGTACAGCTGCTTTAATGCAAAGCAGAGTGCAAGTGGTGATAAAAGTAGACTAATAAAATAGACTTTAAAGCTCTACTATGGAACTTTTTAGGTGGAGGGTGAGCCATCTGTTTATATCCAAGAAAATGATAATATTTTGCCTCACTCAGTGAGGAATTAAACTTATCTATCTCCAAGGAGACAAGCAGGTGATGACACTAAGCCAATGAGAGCTCAGATCTGTGGAGAGGCAAGTTTGTTGACCATGAGAATGCATGCTTTTCAATGCATCTCTGAGCAGCAAAACCCATAATTGAATTAATATAAGGTGAACAATTCCATGCAAAATTATAACATTTCCACAGAGACAAGCAGCTGGCATATTCTACACTTGAAAAGTTACATAGGGCCCCTTAACATGTTTCCTATGTCCACACAGACCTCCTCATCCTGGTGAACGAGAGCAAAACCTGGGAGGAAGCTCTGTACTACTGCAGACGACACCACCGTGACCTGCCCTGGTTCATCGATCACACACACCTGAAGAGAATGGCCCAGGAGAGAGCCAAGATGGCCAACAGCGACGCCGTGTGGGTGGGGCTGCACTATACCTGCTTTCTGGAGGCTTGGATCTGGGTGAACGGTGACTACGTCTCTGACACCGATAAGAACTGGAAGCATCATGGTAAGAGTGAGTGTGGAGTGGCTGGAGCCATGGAGAAAGAAGAACCCAACCTGTGGGTCAAGAAGAATTCCTGGGACAAACTCAACTTCATTTGTGTGCGTAAAAAATAAAATGGTTACTAGTTTAGTGGTGTTACATTTAAATTGTGTATATGACAGGTTAGAATCATTTCACAGGTTAGAATCATTTCAGTTTCATATATATATATATGTGTGTGTGTGTGTGTGTGTGTGTGTGTGTGTGTGTGTGTGTGTGTGTGTGTGTGTGTGTGTGTGTGTGTGTGTGTGATGGAAATTTGAGAAAACACCTTTAGTGTGTTGAAACAATGTTTAAAATATTGTGACAAAAATGTTTCTTGCGTGTAAATTGTGTCTCACTTTTGAATAGAACTCTGGGCTACTAGTGGAACTCTCTTAAATAGCCCGTTCTACTTCCTGTAATTTTCAACATATTTTTCAACTTTTGTACACAAATTGCGTCCTAATTGGTGTAAAACCATAATTTATGTTTACACCAAGTACTATCATACCCAAATCAGACATATGCAGTTTAATAGCGCCATTTATGCATGTACATTGTGTAATAAAATGAAAAGCAATTTAAAGTACCTGTATGAAAGATATTTCTTTTTAATCACGTGTGTAAAATGCCCTTGATGTAAAAAGTTGTGCCTCTGTAAATTGAACATGGTTAATGCATGGGGTTAACGCATAGAACTCTAATAAAATCTAAGATAAAATAAACTAAAATAAACTCATACAAAATAATAACTAATAACTAAAGTAAAATAATATAATAAAATAATAAAGTTTTTAATCATATATCCATGGGTTAACGGCGTCAGACCATTCGTCAGACCGGTGCCATCGCTGCTACCTTTACATCAGTAGCTATTTCGCAGATTCCATAATATTTTCATCTTTAAACTATATTTAAAAATCTAATCAGAACATGTATATGGTAAAGCTATGAATACATACTCTATATATCCATTGTGTGATTTTATTTTAATATTTTAAGTTTGTACGCTGTGTGGAAATAATAAAGTAGCAATAAAATAGCAGTGTACGTTGGTGCGGGGATTACGCAGGGTCATTGAACGTTGCATTTTCCCCGCATCAACCGTCTCGCTGCCGCTTCTGTTTACTCAGGTGTGTGACCGCGTTTGTGTGGCTAAATGTGGAAAAAACGAGAAAAATACAACAAAATGCACCGTCACTGGAATATTTTAGCACTATCCTGAACCTGTCCTGGTGGTTAGCAGGCACAGCGGACGCGAAAAACGCCTAGAAACTGAACACAAGGCGGATAGGGACAGCTGGGGTTATCGTTAGCAGCAAAAGGCAGGTGTAAGGCGGCTTTGATTTAGCCGTGTGTCCGCTTGACTTTTTCACGGATATTTCACAACCAAAATATTCATGAATTGGCGTTTTTTGAACCTTATAACCATGGATTAATGTCAATGATCATTAAATTAAGGTAAGCATATGTCTAGCAGATTACAACTGCTTTGTATATGGGAAGCTTATGATGCGCACAGGAAGTAACGTGAACTGTACTAAATAATGTCTCGTTTTTTTGCTATTAAAATGTCTTAAATTTACCCCTTACATGTTACGTGTAAAAACCTGACCTGATACCGTGTCTTTTTATCATAACACACGAGCAGTTGTTAAGGTAAATTAAAGATGCAAGCAAAATAAATGGCTATGTAAGTTAGTTTCACTTTCGTTTTTTTAATCAAGATTTTAAAATTTTGTTAAAGGTCTTACTATATTTTAAATGCTGGTACATTACAGTTAAAATAGCCTGTGGTGTAAAATGTTCTTTAAAACCTAGTATATTTTGATTTTTGTTGTTAATTGTCAGACTTGTCTATCTCAACTTCCTGATTTAAATTGTATGGTTGAAGATTTAGTTCAGTAATTGGTTCATTATTGCTTTTGTTTTTAATTTGCATTGTCCCTTTAATAAATAAATACAAATAAAAATGTTGCTGTCTAAGCCGAAACTATATTGTCACTTAAAATTGTTAAAGGGCCCATATTGTGCTATTTTCTGATCTATGTTATAACCTTTTGATGTCATGTGATACACGAAGTGCTCCACTGTGTTTTTAAACTACATTCACTTTCACTCGAATCACCTGGATAATTTCAACCCTAGGATTTCCAATCTCAACTAAACAAAAGGTAAAACTGTTAACTTGAAAACCACCACATGGCATCACAAGGTGGAACAGAGCATTTTGATCTTTAGAGATGTACACAGACTAAGGTGTGAATGAAACAAAACACAACTCCAAGTGTTTTTGACGAGGTACCAACATTTTGACATGGCTAAAAATTCACAAGGGTCAATTTTGCACAATACAGGGCCTTTAAAGTAAAATTCAATCAAATATAGTTTATGTCTCAATATTTTATAAATCTTTAGAATCTTTAGTTTTCATAGTTACTGCAGAGACTTGAATAATATTAAAATATTATTTTTTATATTTGCCTATTCATAGTTTACCCTGTTTGAACCCACTTATCTATTTTCCTGGAAGAAGAGGTTCAAAGCTCTACTTCACTCTCTTGTTTTATAACCACAGCCACAGGGTACATATACAATTTGCATTTTATTTCGAAGTCCAGGAGCAGTTTATCAAGTTTTCCCCATGTACTGTTTACCATTGTTTAATATATTTATAGGTTATCATACAAAACTGACTCTTGTGAGCTTTAGGCCATGTAAATGTTAACTCATGAAAAACACATCTGAAGTTGTTTTTTGTTTCAGTCACCCATGTTTGAGTAACCATTTATTATTATTCTGTCTACATTGGCAAAGCTCAAAATGGTCTGCTCTACCTTGTGATATCATAAAGTGGTAGTTTTCAAGTCAACAGCTACTTTTACTTTTAGAAATTGGCAATTCCAGGGTTGAAATTATCCAAATGATTCTAGCGAAAGTTTATGGAGTTTAAAAAGACAGTGGAGCATATCCTGTATTACCACATGATGTCACAAGGTGGAACAGAGCTTTTTCGTTTTTAGAAAAGAATACAGCCTACATATGGAGGATTTGTTTGTTAAACATGTGTAAATGAAACAAAATGCAACTACATGTATGTCTGTGATGAGAAAACAACATTATAACATAGATCAGAAAATGTAACTTTAATTTAAGATTATTCTAATAAATACAGAATATATTCTAATTTTGCATATATTCAGATCAACTATTGCAATATTATCCATGTTTCTATATACTGTTCAGTCCTAAGCTGCACTATGTAACTTTTCTGGTGTAGGGTCTGCTTCCTGCTTGTTTCCATGGATATGTTGCTTTGCCAGAATGCGTGTATCATTCATTCATTCGTTTTTCAATATAAAACCATAAATAAGAAAACGAAAAAACAATGATACACGGATTTGCCAGGAATCTCCCACAGTACTGCATTCCACTTCTTCAGTATCACCACCAAGTTGCTGGTCAGATCTGTGCAGAGGCAAGTTCAGTCATACAAACGTATGTAGTTGATTTGTAGTTGAAGATAGTTCAATGCCATACTGTGGAACATTTCAGGCAAAGCAATAGTGACAACTCCATGGAGACAGGCAAATGACACACCAGACCATGCTCTAGAAAAGTTACATAGTGCACCTTTAATTAAGGCTGCAAGATTAAACAATTTGAACAAATCGGTGAGGCTAGAATCTTAGAAGTAACAACAAACAACAAACTTTCCTGTGTTATTCTGCATGAAACCTGCTAACCCTGTAGATTAGACCTGTACAAACAAGTTCTGAAATGCTGTTTGTATTAGTTAGAAAAATTGGGAAAAATATGTAATTGCAAAGAGTTCAGCCCTACCTTTAAGTATCTAAATAATAAAAAAAAAAAAAAAACACTTTTCTTTTTTGTGTTTACAGGTGACCGCTGCTTTACAGTTGCAAGTGGACCCGATTATTTTTCACTGGAATAATTTCATCTGAATACTATTGTTACTTGTTTCGCTTGTTTCTTTGTTGTTTTTGAGGCTGGACCATGGCTTCGGGTCAGTCCAGTGTGTTACAGGAGGAGCTCACCTGTCCTGTTTGTCTGGACTTGTACCGTGACCCACATTTACTCCCCTGTGGACACAACTTCTGCAGAACCTGCCTGGACCGACTCAAACGCCAAGCAGATAGAGGCCGTTTCAGATGCCCGGAATGTCGCGACAGTCACCGGTGTAGCTCCAACTTCCAGAAAAACTTCAAACTAGCTAATATCGCTGACGACTACAGGCACAGACGGCGACAAAGTGCGTCTGCCACGGCGGGTTTGAAATCACAAGAGGGGGTCTCGTGTCAGGCCGCACAGCAGGCTCGGGCCGTGTGCGCCGCTGTGCCCTGCGACTACTGCCCCCCGGTGGCAGCAGAGGCCAGCAGCGCAGAGTGTGCAGTGGCAGAGGGGGCGGAGGGAGCAGGTAAGGGTGTTCAAATATTTGGTTAATTAGTAATGTTTACACAATATACAACAAAACAGTTGTAAGAGTGCATTTTGATGTGATGACCTCTGGGTGCAGGCTCTTCTCAGGAGGTTGGCGATCCAGGTAAAGGTTTTGCAGTGAAGACGTGTTTGAAGTGTGAAGTGTCCATGTGTCAGGAGCACGTTCGGCCGCACCTGGAGCTGCCCGCCTTCAGAGAGCACCCCCTCACTGAGCCCATGAGCGACTTCTGGAGGAGGAAGTGCCCCGACCATGATGAGGTCTACAGGTACAACACAACACTGCTCTTACACTTCACTTCAATCCAGACAGATTCATGGAGGCCATACATGGGTTATTTGGGTGTAGTGTCTTGCCCAAGGACACAATGACAGTATGCGCTGGTTGAACATAGCAGATTTAGTCATAAGTCACAAAACCAACATTTCAAAGTCAATGTTGATTTTAAGTGAAGTGCTTGATAAGCGAAACCATTCCTGATAACCCGGCAGAGCCCAACTGATATTACAGCGCTAATAACATTGTTCAGGAAGAGGAGGGACTTTTAGCCAGTCAGGGCCACCCACTGAGAAACTTTTTTTCTACCATTATAGTATTATTCTATAAAATACAGGTACAGGTTTGTGTTAATTTGATTTTTGTCCATTATACATTAATGCAGTTTTTGTATTAGTTAATTTGACAACTGTAATAGAAAACTGATACACATATTCATATCCATTTGAGTTCCTGACTATCCCACTGTTTGTTGTGTTTTAGATATTACTGCATGGACGACAAAGTGTGTGTGTGTAACGCCTGCACCATAGAAGGAGGACACTCGGGTCACACCATCAAAACACTGAAAAACACCATGAAAGATCTTAAGGTACAAATCTGCTCTTTCAAACTTCATTTTAGTTTTGTTTTCACTTCTCCCTTTGTTTCTGTGTGGGTTTGACAGCTTGTTGTTCAGCTATGGTATTGTTCTGTGTGAAGTCTGGAAATATCAACAATGACAGAATGAAAGTGGACTCTTTTGTGTGTTCAAACAATTCCTCTCACTTTAGAAAGTTGAAAAGTTTCTAGTTTTTAGAGTAGACTAAGCAGGACCACATCAGGTTTTAAAGCAGGACTAAACCAGAGATACAGTAGGACTAAATTAGAAATGTAGGAATAGACCAGGACTAAACCAAGATTAGACCAGTGGTACTGTTGGACTGAATCTGATCTAAAACCACCTTGCAACTGGAGGTGGTAGGATGGACTGATGCCACAAATTGGGAATAATGCATGAATATGTATACAACACTAGGTATCATAAATTATTGCTCAGGTCCAGATTTCTTTTTATTGCAGTTTAATGGAGTTATTTGGCTTGGAGCAGGGGTCAGTAGTTGTATATATATATATATATATATATATATATAATATATATATATATATAGAGAGAGAGAGAGAGAGAGAGAGAGAGAGAGAGAGAGAGAGAGAGAGAGAGAGAGAGAGAGAGAGAGAGAGAGAGAGAGAGAGAGAGAGAGAATATATATATATATATATATATACATATATATATACATATATATATACATATATATATGTATATATATATATACATATATATATATATATAATATATATATAGTAATATATATATATACACATATATATACATATATATATATATATAGTATATATATATAACATATATATACATATACATATATATATATACATATATATATATATACATATATATACATATATAATATACATACACACACATATATATATATACATACATATATACATACATATATATATACTATATATACATACATATATATATATATATAATATATATATATATATATATATATATATATATAGAGACACATAGACTAAACCAAGACCAAACCAGATAAATAAAATAAATAAAGACAAAATCAGACAGCAAAATACTAAATTGTCAATTAGTTTTTATTTATTCAGATAAATACAAATATACCTACAAATACTGGACTATAATTTAGGCCCTATTTTTCCTGTAGTTCCTATAGAGAAGCATGCAGCCTGTTGTCATGTGGTATTAGGTTGGATTAGCTGTGTTGTTGCTAATCTGCCCCTCTCTGTTCTAAGGTGAGTCTGGATAAACAGATGTACCGAGTGGAGCGCAAGTTCAGCCTGGCAGAGAAGAAGCTCCAGGAGCAGAAGGAGAAAGAACGACAGAACAAGGTACAGCGGGAACAGAGGAACAGAGGACGAAAGTGTAACACTGTAAATCACCCCAAACTGCAGTACGAGGATCAGTCCCCTTATCAGCAACTATATTATTTCAATATTATTAGTTGATAAATCAAGCAATATTTTTATACATTAGGAAAAAAAAAAAGGTGCACAATGGAGGGTATATCGCCTGCTTGTAGATTACCCCTATCTTCTTTGAGACAAGCAGGAGGTGCCACCAGGCTGAATTACAGGTCAGATCTGTGGAGAGGCGACCCCAGCTCACAGTGAGAATGCAAGTACCATATTGTCCGCACTATGTGGCGCTCTGGATTATAAGATTCACTGTCATTGAATGGTCTATTTTCGAACTTTTTTCACAAATAAACCACACCAAGACTTTAAACGAAACACACAACAGATAGATGGCTCAGTCGAACTTTGTTTGTCGCGTTCACGGTGACTCTGGGCTTTGTTCAGTTGTGGCGTGTAGGGAGGGTGCTGTCTGGGACCACTGGATTGTCGGCGTGTTCGCAGTGACTCAGTTGTTCAGTTGTGTCTAGAAGTGGCACATTGCACTCGCTTTTTTGGTTTGTTCCTCCATTCCATTCCTCGTCGGCGTGGAGTGATGAGTGTGGCTGCGGGTGTTTTTCACTGTGAGGTCGCTGTCTGCTCCGTGCGTGTTTGTGTGCACTGTGGGTGGTGCAGCTTTGTAGTTTACTGAAGTCGTGCTGGGACACTCGAGTGGATTCGTGTATGGGGCGCTCTGGATTGCGGGGCGCGCAGTCGTTTTTGATGGGGTTGGAGGCTTAAGAGCGCGCTCTATAGCCCGGAAAATACGGTATTTCAGATTAATAAATTTGAGATGTAAAGGGTTGAATATAGCATTTACAACTGTTTAATGATTTCAAATAACTGCCAAGTGTTTCATTCTGCTATTTATGTTTCATTAATTTATCTATTTTAACATATTGTTCATTTGATGATGGAATTATCTTGTTTTTGGGTTACAATGCCGTTTATGTAAAGTAGTGTACATTTTAACATGATATTGTCTGTAGCAATATATCAACTTTGAACATTTGTTATTCTGACAGGGTTAGATGAAAGAGTTTCCAGACCAGTTCCTCTGTATGGAATATAAGAAAAACATGCATATAACTTACTATGATGTTCTCTGAATCATATGCCCTTTCCTCTGTCTCTTTCACACAGAAGTTCATGGAGGACTCGGACCAGAGCCTGACCCGACTGGGGGAGGACCTGAAGGCAAAGGTGCTGCGCTTCATTGGGCGTTTGAGGCAGTGCAGTCGGACGCACTGGGACACCAACGGCCCCGCCATCCAGAAGAACATCTCCAGGATCGGACAGGACCAGGCCCGGCTACAGGAAGTCCGCTGTGGCCTGGAGAGCCTGCTGCAGGAGAGTGACCCCTTCAGGTTCATCCAGGTACTGCTGTGTTTACTAAAGACATGTTTGGTTGACTAAAAAGGGGACATGACAAAAGCTCTCAAAAACTATTATGCATTTATTGTATCTGACCCAAAACTGCGTTGACAAGACTACAAGTGCACTGGAGTTCATGCAAAAAATAAGACAACCAACGCGGTACTGATTTCACAGGCGTGTAGTTATTTTGTAGGACGTTAGAAAGTTAGAAATACTAGAAATTGATTTTAATAAGTTTAGTTATTTGTAGTTTATTTTGAACATATAAATATCTGAATTTTTTATATTGAGAATTTGTTAAAAAAAAAAAAAATTGTGATTGATTCCTTGGAAAATATTCAGAATGTTAGTGAGATTGCAACTCACAAAACCCATAAACCCAGAATTTTCAGCTAAAAAATTTCTTTAGTTTTTTGTTATTTCCATATTACAAAATGTCACCCCCATGAGTGACTGCTATTTTGTGTTTACTATTTCAGGCTTACAAGACAACAGGAAAACAGTAAGCATCTCTGTGGTATTTCTAAATGTAAAAATCTATAAGAATATGTAAAAATATAGATTTTTCATAAAGGTGCCGTCGCCAGCTGCGTAAGGACCTGTTCTACCCGGAGTACGTAGACATGGAAACAGAGGTGCTGGGCGTCATGATGGAGGATGAGATGAGGAAGTTTCTGGACGAAGAACTGCCCTGCCACATCACAGCAGCCATCAACTCCCTCTGTGAGACTGTAGAGCTGTCTTTACTTTCTATTTGCACAAACTTGATATGAAATAAACCCATTTAAATCAGGAATAGGGAATATGTAATAAGGTTTTAAGTCATGTTTCCTTTTTATTTTCAATCAACAATTTGTGTAGCTCTTTTAACTGGACAGTACAGTTTAGCACTTTTGAAACTGCTGCTGAAATGCTGCTATTGTTACTTAACACCTGATGTCATTAACGTCTCCTGAGGGTGCGATGTTAACTGGAGGCACGGCTCTGACTGAACACTTTAATCTGAGTTTTGCTTTAACACAATCTGACCACTGGTTTATTTTTAAGATGCACACAAACCACTAGAAATACATAAGACTGCGTTTCTTACTAAAATGCACAAAAAAGGACTTGGAAAAGGACAAAAAATTGCATAATAACATATGTATATCATTAATGCAATCTGTCTCTGTCCATATTTGTAGGTCTGTTCTCGGACCTGGAGGAGGAAGAGGAGGAGACAGAAGAAAATGAGGACGATGCAGCAGAGGAGGACGACGATGATGAAGATGATTTTTTGGATGACAGCAGAGAGAGAGAGAGTGAGGAGGATGAGAGGAGAGAGAGAGGAGAGAGAGAGAGGAGAGAGAGAGGAAGAGAGGGAGAGAGAGAGGAGGAGAGAGGAGAGAGGAAAGAGAGGAGGAAGAGGAAGAAGGAGGAGAGGAGAGGAGGGAGAGAGGAGAGGAGAGAAGAGAGAGAGGAGAAGAGAGTGAGAGAGAGAGAGAGGAGGCGGTGAGGAGAGAAGGAGAGAGTGAGAGAGAGAATAAGAGAGAGTGAAGGAGAGAGTAAAAGGAGGGAGCCAAGCAGCTGGTTAACTCTCAACTGGAAAAGTTCCATAATGCGCCTTTAATTTTGTCCATATTTCCTGCTCCTGGCTCATAGGAGGAGGAAGGGCAGGACCACAGTGAACTGGGAGATGACACCTACAGCCCGAGCCCCGAGGAAGAGAGAGGAGGAGGAGGAAGAGGAAGATGAAGAAGAAGAGGAGAATGGAGAGATCGTGAGAGGAGTGTGACAAATGACTCAAACTGCACACTTGTTTTGCACTTCCAATGTTTATACAAAACACAGACTTAGGGGGCTGAGGTCAGATGACGTCAGTGCGTTCTTACAGTTTAACACTGAACTGGAGGACAGGTCCTATTTCTACGGTAGAATTTGCTCTTTAACTGTCAGAAAGCAGATTTGATGACCTGATTTATGACTTATATATCTGTGGTTACTGGGCCTATCCACACGAAACAAAAACTGGCACAAAGTTCAACAACAGTGAAATTATTTTCTTCACAACAGCTCTATTATTCAACAAGATGTGGTACTTTTCAGTTTTTCTCTCACTTACTTTATTCCGTAAGATTAATATGGAAAATTTGTAGAACCAATTCTACAAAGGTTCAACATTTGCGGATTTCAAATATTATATTTCTTTCAAAAACAGTGAATCACCCTTAGAGTTATACAGGCCCCAGCCCTCCATCTGAAGTTAAAACATCATAAAACTCTAAAATGTGAATATGATCATTGTGTTTAAGCTCAGTTATTAATAAAAATCCAATCATCTGGAAATGCAAACACATGTCTGCAAAATTAAACCACTTTTTAGGAATCTATTTTTTTTTCCTATGGTATTTGAAGGCAGCATCTTTTCGAATGTACTTTGGCATTTACACACCCTCTGCCTCACTGGACTCCTGCCAATGTGAACTGCTGCAAACTTATTAATACAAGGTGCTTTACCGTAAACACAAGAACATGTGATTTTACGATGGAAGAACGTTTTGTGCAAGTTTGGAAATTGTAGCATTTTTAAAGGAAAACAATTTAAGTTTTGGAATGTATTTTGAAATATTGCTCTGCTTCTTGTTTTAAATGATCTTCTGTATCATTTTAAGCACGTGTTTCTCCACTTGACATAGATACAAGCTTAATGCATGACTTGAATCTAAAATTGAGAAAGATTGTGACTCATTTTAAAGGCGCATTATGTAACTTTTCTCTACAGCAGGGTCTATCACCTGCTTCCGCGACCTTCTTCATGGAGCTATGCTATTGCTATGCTTGGAATCTTCCACAGTACAGCTTTACATCTATCTGTCTCCATGGAAACAAACAGGTGGCACTACCAGGCCAAGCTTCTTATCTTCTCACTTTTTTAATAATAACACCTGTAAGTGAATTAATATCATACTGTGGAACATTCCAAGCAATAGCATCACCATGGAAACAAGCAGGTGTCCAGAAAAATTACATAGTGTAACTTTAAACATCTGAAATGCAAGCCAAAGAATTTGTTCCCCAGACTCATTTTCTTAGCATGTTGTATTGATTTGTGCTTTAACATGTTGCATTGTTTAAAATGTAATTTATGTATTGGTATTGAGCCTATGCACTGTTCACTGATTATTATAACTTTGTATATTCCAGGTGGATATGGTGATGCTATCTTGCACTTTATTACTAGAAAATGTACAGCCAAAACAGCTTGAATGTAATGAAAATAATTCTGATGTGAGTGATTTTGTGAAGGATGCAGAACGGAAATAAACACCAAGCTTGTGATATGATCAGTGGGGAAAGTGGTGGCTACAAATAGATACATAAAAATACATATGGATTTTGATATATTTTTCTTGATTACACACATTTTAACAGGTTTTAACTGCTTACATTCTGCATTATTTTACTTGTTTTAGTTTATTTCTGACTGGATTCCATGTTTATTTTTCCTTATTTCAAGTCAAATTGTCCTGTAAAATGTAGAAAATAAACTCTGTACATTGGCAATTTAGTTAATTAGAAATATACACAAGAAAACGAGCAAGTAATGTTTTTTAAGTAATGTACATTTTCTTTTATATATGCTTTAATAATTTTTAATACCAATATATCAATTAATAAATGTTTTTCTTCGTAAACACAAAGCGGAACCGTTGTTTCGCATGCCAACGGGGGACAGCGACTATTAGTGACGGACTTGCTTCCTGTCGTGATTTCCTGTGTCATTTTTCTGCGCTTGTTTTTACACATTTTTTGATTTTTCTCCCAAAATCCAGCGACGTGTAATTTATATTTGGGCTTTCAGATGTAGACACGAGCAGATCCACAACATGAATCCAGTATTTAGAAAGGTAAGTGTAATTTGGCCTTATATCGCCCTACTTTTGTTAGCAGAGGTCATTCAGCAGATTAAGAGTTCATTTATTTTTATACATTTGAGTAAATTATTGTCATTACAGCCATGATAATATGTTGAACGTGACTGAAAACATGTACTGTCAGTGGTTAAAAAAAATTAAAATAATAAAAAAAAAAACTATTGTATATTCCAGTTCGTCTTTACGTTTTTTATCACTATAAACCTGCCGTAAGATTTTCTACATTTTACATTTTAAAGGTATTCTGTTACAGGGTTTGCTAGCTGCGTTTCTTCATGGGGATCATATTGCTTTCTTTAGAAAATACTCCACAGTATAGCATTAAACCTTGTATTTATAGACTTCGTATGTTTTCCTTAAGGTACAAACTGTTGTAACACAAGCGCTTGTCTTGGACCGAGCTGCTTCAACATGCCGGTAAGTTGTCCCCATTTTGTTTTATTTTACTTGAACTGAGATTAAATGTTGTTTTATATACAATAATTGTAATTTTATTCGACTGCAGGGTGTTGCCACTAATTCAAGACACTGTTTGGGGTAAGTACTTGTTTACCTTCCTCTTCTTAATATTATATCTTAATTATTATATCTTGCATATTATAAGTGTCGGACAATTTTACTGGCCCACCAAAAATAAAATAACAAAAGGCTCTGCACACCAGCACGCTAGCTACCTCATTGTTGTCTCAAAGCTAACATCACTTTTACTAAAACTGTAAAACATAAAATAACCCACCTATTTCCAGTTCATGGGAAACTTCTACATGCAAATCCACGGCTGTGCTTAGCCAGAACTGGTTTGAGAGGGGAGTTAAAGAGGCTATTTTTGTTAGGAAAACAATCCATCCTTGATCAGAAATGGATGGCTCAGACATCATCTGTCTCCTATTTACAACTCCATCCTCAGACCTAAACCTAACCAAAGAAAACAATAGGTATAGCAAGGTCAAACCCAGAGGTGTGAAAGCTCCATCAGGGTCTTGAATTATTCTGCTAATATGACCCCACACTCAGTGCAGTTCAATAGGCTCTGCAGGCACATATATGGCAGTGTCCACCAGTTTGGATGAGCTGCGAAACGTGTTCAACCAAAATAAACTTTTGTCCAGTTGATAAACTATTAAAATTCAAATTAATTAAAGTAAAGACTACCCAGTTATTTTTTTAAATAAAATATTTCCGTTTGTGCTGTTTTAATGTTTATTATGGCTCCAATTTAGCATAATAAATGCTAATTTTAGCATTAGCCTTAAGACACAAACCTCTAACTTTCTAAAGCAGTGTCCTACAGTGCAGTATTAATTTGACTTGTCTAGTTTTAAGCATTTTGTCAGTATCCAGCACTGTCCAAAGCCTTATCTTTAAATATTTATTAATTTCAGCACAACTCAGCAAAAAAAACAACAACATAGAAATATTGTTGGACAAGAAGTAGTGGTACTGTTTATGTACCATATTTAAAAATTCAAATGTCTAAAGTTTATCCTGGTTCAGCAATGAAAACTGTTTATATTTTGTTTTCTACAGGAGGAACTGTTGCCATGAACAACAGGAAGTTCAGGGGAATGCCCACTCACGGTATCGGAAAATGGAAATATCTTTTACCCAAAGAAGCTGTAAGTCCATGCAGATGCAAATCTAAACTACTGGCAGTACCCAGAAAGTATGCAAATAATATTAACAAATAGGCCTGTAACTCTGTGGGCTATATTTTAATAAAATGAAATGTGTATTTGATAAAAATGTGGCTGTATGGGGTCAAATAATGTTTAACTACCACCACTGCTTTTGCACATTGTACAAAGCACAATCTTGTTTCATAAAATATCAAGATGAACAAATATATATCATGCTTCAAAAATGTGTGTCACAACAGGCCTAAAAACAAAGCATAATGCTTGTCTAATTTTTATTTTTTAGGTTAAGAAGAAGAAAGACAAACAGCAGATGAAGCAGATTATAGCGGCAACACAAACAGCATACGGGACTCTGAACGTTAAAGTGTCTGGATACGACATGACTCTAGTGGAGCATTACTCTCAGTACATCCATAACCTCTGCAACAGACTTGGCATCAGCGTCGCAGAGAGGTGAGGGTTTGTTTCCTGCTTGTCTTTTAATATAAATATAAATATAATATAAATATGATGATTAATATTTATCACTCTACATTTATCACTATACATCTGGGCTCTCAAACTTTGTTCACCTACCCAGTGTATATATTTTATTGCAAAGCACTCTTGACAATCCTTTCATTATTTGTTTTTGAAAATAAATACACATTTTTGAGCAAAGTGGTGTGGAAGACAAGTTGTATTTCCACGCAATCTTTTACTTGGCATTAATAAAGTGGCTATCAAACCTTAACTAAATACATGTACTGAAAATATGTATTCTGAATGCTAACTTTAAGTGCCTGTATTCCGGTACAGTTACTCTTTCATTTGGTGACATTCGGAATGCAGTTATTTTCCTGAATTAAAAAGAATACATGACAGTACTTCATCATGCAATTTTGGCTTTGAACTACACAGTGTTTTTGAGAAAAATGGAAAACACAGCTTTTTCAGTGTGTGCATGTGTGATTTTACATTTTCAAAGTATTCTTCCCATCACTGCCATTTTTTCATGGTCAGGGTTTTCGATACTGTTGGTGGTACTCTAGCTCCATCTGGTGGTACAGATTCTTGTGCCATTTATTTTTTTTAGCCCCATTTTTCCCCCCTTCCCTTGTTTAGAAGAACTACTGTAGAAATGGTGTAGTGTCATCCCTTTTCGCCTGAGTATATAGTCCTGTTTTAGACCTCTGGAGATTTGATTGTTTTTTTGAACTGTTTTCTTATTTGACTTTGATGCAAAACTTTTAACAGTGGTTATCTCATGTGGAGGTTAGAAATGAATGAATAATGCACTGTAAAGCACTTTGGGTGTCTTGAAAGTCGCTATATAAACCCAGTTGCCATAAAACCTTTGTTCCTGCTGTAAAAAAGAGAGATTTGAATAATCAATAAAAAGGGGATTCAGAGAGCACACCACCCATCTGTTTGTCAAGTCTAATCAACTAAAGTTTAAAGACTTAGTTGATCTTAAGATTTTATTAGTTCTGTGGAGAACCAAACAAAGACATTTACCTGAAGCTCTACAAAATCTTTTTACCTTTCTCTCGGAGGACCACAGAAAACAATCTTTTTTTCCCGAACTGTATTCTCAAGGACAACATTAAAACTGAAATGTTTTTCTGTATGGAGTCAAGATATGGAACCTTTTAAATCATGATTTAAAAAGTTGCACCACTGTTTCTAAAGTCAAGAAAATGTACAAGGATAAAATAATGATGGACTATGTGACTAAGGAAAGTGTTTAAAGTTAATGAAAGCACAAGAGAGATACTGTAACATGCATATGGCTTATAGATTGGTGACTTTGTTTGGTTTATGGGGTGGGGAAGGATTATTAAAGAAATGTTTAATTTTTTTATCTGTGAAAGGAGCAGGGTTTATAAGATTATCTTCTTCCTGTTCTTTTTGTTCATAATTTATGTAAATTTTCTGATTTGTTGTTGTTGTTCTCTTTAAATGCCAACAAAATAATAGCATGAGCAATTAAAAAAAGCAAAACAACATTATTATTATTAAATGTCCCGTCTCTTGTTATGTTCAGTTACGCGCTGCCGACCAAAACTACAGAGGTTCTGCTGATGCAGGACCAGGGCACAAAGATGCATGTGGATGCAGTTTTAAAGACCCATGAGCGAATCGTACAGGTAAAACTCTCCCCTGTCTCTTTCTGTAACTCTCTCTATCCTCTTTTCTCTTTGTCTTGTATTGTTTCTTTTCTCTCTCTCTTTCTCTCTCTCTCTCTTTCTCTCTCTCTCTCTTTCTCTCTCTCTCTCTTTCTTTGTGTCTCTCTTTCTTTGTCTCTGTGTCTCCTTTTTTCTGTCTCCTTAATTTGTAAACTTGTTGTTGAGTCATGTTTGTTGAGAATGGCCTTGTAACTCTTGTTTTAAAATGAATTTCTAATAAATATAAGATTAGTCAACTCTTTCTCCGTCTCACCATCTCTCTGTCTTCTTTTCTTTTTTTTCTGTCTTAATTTAGTAATTTTGTCATTGAGTTATAGTTAGAGGATGGCCTTCTAACTGTGTTTTAAAATGACTTGCCAATAATTGTAAGATTAAAGTCATCTTTCTTTCTCTCCCTCTCTCTCTTGCTATCCCTTTCTCTCTCTCACCTTTTCTTTTTTCTCTTATTTTCTGTCTTCTTAATTTGTAAATTTGTCGCTGAGTCATAGTTGTTGAGGATGGCCTTGTAACTCGTTTTAAAATGAATTGCCATTAAATGTAGGATTAAAGTAATTTCTCTCTCTCTCTACCCCCTCTCTGTCTCTTTCTCTTGCTATCTCTTCTCCCACTCTCTCACTTTCCTCTCTTTCTTTCATTGTCTCTGTCTATTTTCTTTCTCCATCTTTCACTCTCTACTTTTTTCCTCCATAATTTGTAAATCTGTTGTTGAGTCATGGTTGTTGATGGCATAATTTTAAACTGAACTGTGAACTAAGTAAAGTAACTAAGTAATCTCTCTCTCTCTTTCTCTACTGTCTCTGTCTCTTACTGTCTCTCTCTCTCTTCTGCTCTCTTTCTCTCTCTCTGCTCTCTTTCTCTCTCTCTGCTCTCTTTCTCTCTGCTGTCTCTCCATCTATTTCTCTCTATCTCTCCCTCTATTTCTCTCTCTCTCTGTTATTTCTCTATCTCTGCTATTTCTTTCTATCCTCTGTCTCTGCTCTTTCTCTCTCTCTCTGCTCTCTTTCTCTCTGCTGTCTCTCCATCTATTCTCTCTCTCTCTCTCTCTCTATTTCTCTCTCTCTTATTTTCTCTCTCTCTCTGCTATTTCTCTCTATCCTCTGTCTCTGCTATTGCTCTCTGCTCTCTCTCTTTTTCTCTGCTGTCTCTGTCTCTCTCTGCTCTTTCTCTCTCTCTGCTCTTTCTCTCTCTCTGCTCTTTCTCTCTCTCTCTGCTCTTTCTCTCTGCTGTCTCTCCATCTATTTCTCTCTCTCTGTTCTCTTTGCGTTCTCTTTGCACTCTCTCTTTCTCTTCTATCACTCCCTCTCTCTCTTTGCTATCTCTCAAATATAAAACAACACATTTTATTTTTCAGGTGAGCAGTTTAAACACTTCTTTGTGTCCGGTCTTTCTTGACGTTCTTCTTAAAAATCAGCCTGAGGGAGTTCAGCTTTCTGTCAAAGAGGTAAGACTCTCGTTGAGAACTAAGTCTGTCAAGTTACTGTTTTAGTGTTTCCACATCAAAAACATACCTGGAGGTTTTTTTTTTTTTTTCACACATGCTTGAGTAATCCTTTGTTATTAATCTGTTTATGTCTCCAAAGCTCAAAATGCTCTGATCCACCTTGTGATGTCATGAAGTGGTAGTTTTCAAGTTAACAGCTACTTTTTATCTTTTAGCTCAGTAGAGATTAACAGTTCTAGTGCTGAAATTGTCCAAATGATTATAGTGAAGGTGCATGGAGTTTAAAAACACAGTGGAGCACTTCCTGTATTACCTCATGACATCACAAGGTGGAACAGAGTGTTTTCTGATTGAGAGAAGAACTTGAGGAAACAACATTATAGCATAGATCAGAAAATACTGACACATGGGTTCTGTAAAACTGTGTAATTTATACAGTACATTACAATAGTACTTATTAGTGATTTTTGGTGTATTTCCTTTCAGCACACAGAGGCCGACTTCCAGGCTCGGTTCAAGGCCCGTCCTGAGTTGGAGGGGCTGATGGCGCAGATGGGGCACTGATCCAAAACTGTCTGATCTTTAACTCTGTACATAAAGATTTTTATATTTGTGTCTCTGCAATCTGAACTCGAGAAAATAAACCTCATTATTCCAGGAAAATTGAAACACCTGCTCCATTTTTATTTGCGCTGTCAGGCTGTGATACCGACAGAGGAGACAAGATCACATCTGTCAGATATTATTTCTAGAAATTGAAACTTTGCATTCCCTGGGGCTGTAATGAGGGTGTGATGCTAACTAGAGGCTCTGCTCAGTTTGAGGCCCTGCTAGGCGTTAAACTGATCTGTATTTTGATGACTGATCAGAAAACATTTACATATGGAACAAATGATCAGGTTTTAAAATGTACTTTTTTAGATATTAAGAAAATGCCAATGTAATCAAAATAGAATAGAATATGATGGGATAATAAGTTTTAGGCCATATCTGCAACATTTCTACTATATTACCAAATGTAATTTCTTGTTGACATTGACATTTGCGGGACAATACATAATCCAAACATGCACTGTATCCTTTTTAAAATGGAAATAATGACACAGTTTTGGTTAGCAAATATATTTTAATATATAATATTTATATTCATTTTAGCACAATGACAAAATGGCATAATTCAGTCTCATTTAAATCATGACAAAAGGCCACACCAGTTTGAACAGCGTTAGATGCACACAGCCTGGGTTTATTCTTGGCCCATTTAAACCTTTAGACAACAGCATAGAGTCAGGGCATCTGGAGCAATGGTATAACTGATATAATGCACAGTGTCACGTCCTTCAAAACACCACAGAAAGAAACAGGATTAAACTCAAACATTTAAAGTTAGATAAGAACACAACATAAAGATTTACATGTGTGATTGGTGGCATGTTGTACTCAAGCTTCTGGGTCCTCAAAAACAACACATTAAAAACACACAAAAATAAAATAAAGTTAGTTTGATGAACTTTACCTGCATTTAGTCTCACATCTCCTTCACTGATCACTTCTGATAAAATACACAGTTGTCATAACACTACGATGGTTTACTTCCATCTTAAGCATAAAAGCTACACGGGGCAGCTTTAATTTGGGAGATAAACTATTAGTCTATAGGATGAGTGTGTACCACTTGGCTGTTCCATAGTATGGCATTATCCTTGTATATCTCCATGGAAACAAGCAAATGGTGCCAACAAGCCAAGTTACAGGTCAGATCTGTGCAGAGCCGAGCCTACTCTTGATAAGAATGCTTTTAAGGTATTTTTTAGCAATAAATGCATAAATGGGTAAATGTTAGATGAAAGTCTTTAGAGCCATATTATGGAATATTCCAAACTAAGCAATAACATCTTTATGGAGACAAGCAAGTGGCTCGCTCTCCACCAGAAAGGTTACACAGTGCACCTTTAAATAAGCCTAAACAACAAATTACTGCTCTGCTCTCATTCTTCTCCCCATATTGTAACCATACCGTTACCTATTGGAATGGAAACGAATCATATTAAACACAATAAAGAACTAGTCATTGACCATTTTTCCCCAAAATAAATACAGTTTGTTGTATCATTTTCCAGCATTCCCTCTGTTCAAGTCCCACCTCTTAAAACCACTACAATCATCTCCATTTGAAACCTCCAACAGCTAAAACCTACTCCCTACTTACGCTACACTAACCAGCACTTTTCATTCACCTTCTGCTTGAAAAAACTACACATAATAAAATAAAAAGTCACATTTAATAAAATATGTGAATAATCGAGATGTTGTTTACATTTTATGATACAACTGAAAGAGGATACAAACTCAAACTAGCTGCTTTTAGCTAAATATGCTAGTTTTGTCATTAGCTTGTGTTGTTTGCATAGGCTAAATTAAAGGGCAAGTTATTTTATTTATACAAATTGGTTTTTTTTTTTAAGTTGTTATTCACATATTTTATCATAACCTTGCATTTTTGTGACTTAAAGATAACCAATGTTGAATAAAAATAAAATATACAACATCAACGAAGGACAATTTGTTTAGAAAGTCTGGATTTCTGGCTTTTCGTCCAATATGCAAATGACAATAGACTTAATGTTAGGAATATGTTTATATTTTGTTCACTTTTGTCATGATTTTGAAACTATTTTTTTCCTCTTTTTTTGTACAAACGATGACTACACCACATCTGAGCCAAAAACACAGAGAAACAGGTAAATAAGTAAATACAATGAAATGATCTTTTTTTGTTGTTGTTCATCCAAAGCGTTAACAGCGAAATGTAACCATAAAAACGCATACTAACACAACATGACGAAAGCAAACCTCTCCTCTTTAGTTAGTCTCCAAATAATAAAACAGAACAAGAAAAACAATATATAGGCATTAAATAAATTAATTCAAAAACAAATACAATGGTAAATATTCAAATACATATTTACAGGCCAGGAAAATCAAAACTTTACGTGAGAAATTAACTAGTTTGATTTGGACTTCCCATTAGCAACACATGCTAATTTGCACACAACCTAAGCTAACCACAAACTATTGATAGTTATTGATAATTGTTCATGTCAGGATATGTTTTGCAGCATTTACTAAGTTGATATGTACTTTGTAATTGAAAATCCAAATTTGACATCGTGTATGACTGATATGTAGCATTATCTTTAAAAAAAAAAAAAAAGCGCCATATTTTTACAAATCCGCCCGGTAACAGAGCTCAATAGTGACTGCCTGATCCGGCTCCACAAGGAAATTTTCCATGAATTTTTCCCCATAGAATTTTCAAAAAATACAAATATTAAATAACAGGGCGGAGGCTAACTAGCTACATGCTAACTAATATGCATAATTCGGTTGTTTTAAGTCCAAAAAGCACATTTAAAACACATGATTCGGTGAAAATTTGTTTCAGAAACAGATTTGGTTTCATTAGTTACCACATAGCTGAATATGCCTATGCAACCTTTTAAACTTTTAATATTTATTTATTTATTTTTTGGAAAGTCTGTGTGAAAAATAAATGGAAAATTTACTACTGGAACTGGAGCGGGCCGTCTTTGTTGAGCTCCATAAAGAAACAAAACTGCACTTTAATGACTAGCCACCATTAAGTTGAGCCTTTAAGCAGATCTAAGCAGGATTCATAAGTCAAATGTTATGTAGTCATTTCTGAGAAGCCGCGTCAGTTAAATTAGCCAAAAGAAACAAACCATGTACTATCTTAAACTCTATAGAAATCATTTTACTTAAAGTCTGACCATAGCAGGCAATAGCTGATTCGCAGATAGTGACTTCATGTTGTTGAATAGAACTGAAGAGTCAATGTATCACGCAACAGTGTTAGTCATACAGCCACAGGTCATAGCAGTGCATTCAAACCGCTTCACTGGGTCCTCCACCAATGTATTTTTAGGACGAAAATTATGCAACACTTTTAAATAGACTCTTGTTCAATTAATAATAACAGCATTTTTGAGGTAGGCCTACACTAAAATGCATCTCAACTTTGATACTGGTATATTTATCTTATACGGCTTTACTCCTCTGTGAGATTATTTAATGTTGGATGCAGAAAAATATTGTAAAATTAATGTCTGATATTTTTTTCCATGAATTGAGCTGAATAATGTAAGTGAGTATAACCTCTGCGGACCTCTGCAAACCATTTAAAAATGAACAAATTCTGTTTTTCATGTTTTAAAACAGTAAAAATTAGGCTAGTTAATACTTCGTAGTTAAGCTTAGTATAAGCCAATACAAATGGATGTTAAAATGTTGGATATTTCAGGTGTTAAGATATTTTATAACTAATACTGTAAGTGTAAGTGGTCAAATAAATTACTGTTATTTGGCTGCAACCTAAAAATAATTTGAAAATATGATCACGTAAGGAGGACAATCTTTCACGTTTGACATAAATGCATAGAATACAAATCATCTCAACACTACAAGACACGTCGAGCAATAGAAAACCAAAGAAAAGGTTGCAAATAGTTTTAAGTCTCCGTTGTTGGCACTAGAGGGTTTTGACATAATAGAACATGTCTAGAATTTACAGTATATTTTGTTTCAATTCTGCAACTAAAGAAAGAGAATAATAATAAATAAACTTTTGTACACAGCAACACTGACGTCCTTAGCAACGTCTGGACCGGGTCGTGTAATCAGCAAAAACAAAATCACAGTTTTATGTTGAAATATTTTTGGGGTTGAATGCGCTAAGGCTTCATTGCAGAAATATATAAGGATACACAGTGTTAAAAAGAGCAGTCGTATTAGCGAGTTAGCAACAGTCTTGTGAGCTATAGTGTTCGTGAATGAGAGTGGCCTTTTGGATAGGCTAATGTTTGGTTAAGATGACGTCATTTTTATTATGTGGTTCAACAACTTTCTGATCCGTTTACTGCAAAAACTGAATTTCTAAATGAGTTAAATTCTGAAAATGTATCTTATTTTGAGTAGCTTGAACAGCTTTACATTATATTTAGCAAGTAGTTGACTCTAAGTATTTTAATTATTATTATTAAGAATATCTAGGTAAAATTACTTAAATTAAGAACACTTTACTTTTACTTATTTGTGTAGATTCAGCTTGGCAAGTCAAATGATCTACTAATGAGACAAGTGTGTTTTTCTTAGTTCATGCAACATTAGATTTTGTTTCTCATATTAAGTACAAAAGTCTTGTTCCTTGGTAGATCATTTGACTTGTCGAGTGAAATTGAATCAGATCACAATAAAACTTTCTCAATTAAAGTAATCTTAACTTGGCTAGATTTTTAGATTTGCAGTATACTTAAAATTTTACATTCAATTAACTTAAAATATTAATTGAAAAATAGGCATTTGTTTTAATTCAGGATTTCATTTTATGTATGTGACTACATTTCTGACTGGTATCATTCAAAAAAGTTCGCAAAAACAGTAATTACACAGCATTTCAACTCCATGTAGACATTTGTTTTTGCAGTGTCCTATGCTTTCGTCCTATGTCCTATTGCTATTCTCAGTACAGTATATGGTGTACTGTGTGTTTATGTTAAGTTTATTACAAATAAATTTGATTTTGATCACTTGACAGTGACTGCTGAACGCTTCCAAGGGGGACACAAATCAAGATATGACTTTTGTCATATACTGATTGGGATCTGTAGCCTGCTTCAACAAAAACTGGTCCCATAAGTGCAAAGAAATATAAAGTTCTTTTATAAATACTTTCCTAAATAGATTTTTGTCACTAGGTGAATGTTTAAACAAAATTATAGTTTCAATATCTCTTTCTTAAACATATTCTATTTTAAGAGAATGCTTTTAGAAATCTTAAAATCTCTTTGCAATAAAGTGACTCGTTAGTGGTTTCATTTTCACAGTAAATTTGCTTTCTCAGATAAATATTTACTTCATATACTATGCAAATCTTTTAACATAATTTAAATTTTAAGTTTTGCACAGGGTTTTTAAAGAGGCTTGATTGGCATGTCCTTCATGTCATCCATATTGAATTCACAATATAATGGATATTGTGAATTCATAAAAAAAAAAAAAGTTGGAAAATGAAAAAAATATTAATATATGTATATATATATAACAGTCTTCTGCAAATAATATTCGCTTTAAGGCTTGATCCAAATTTTGCCAATTATTTAACGATTTTGAGATTTTTTTTCTTAAATTGTAAATTTATTTTTGGATCACTGTCTGTATCCAGGAATGTTTTGAAGACCATTGGAAAGATTAAGGGGGAAGGTAATTTGACCATAACACGAAAGTAAAACTTACTAAGATGGGTAAAAAAAAATAAGGGAAACTTTACGAGTTAAATCTGTAATTATGTGGTACATCTGAGCCTCCAAACTATTTTTCAAACTACTCCTGTACTCAAACATCACTGGTCCATTCATAAAGTCCTGTCCCGCCACAGTCTAATAGAAATAAAGATGACATCGCATTGCTACGATCCGATTGGCTGTGAGGGTTAGTGCAGGGTCAAAGTTGACAGGACGAGCAGGAAATGGGTGGTTGTTTTGGGCGCTGATTGGTCGCTGATTGGTTGGAGGAGTGTAAGAAGTGTAGAAATATCAAGGTGCAAAGATTTGGGGGAAAGAGGCGGGGCAGAGGGTTCAGACTTTTTTAGGAGGCGGAGCCAGTTTGATGATCTCATCTTCAGAGGGCTGGCGGATGATGTCTGAAAATGGAAACAGATATAAGTGATTAGTATCAGTCTTGTGAGCTATAGTGTACGTGAATGAAATGTGGTCTTTTATATAGGCTGATGATTTGGTTTAAGATGATGCCTTTTTTTTTTTATTATGGCAATCAACAACTTCCTACTCTGCATACTGCAAAAACTAAATGTCTAAATAAGTCATGTTTGCTGTGTCTGAATTTCTTCACCTGAAAGAGGAAAAAAAAAAAAAAAGATCAAAAATGTATCTTATTTTGTTTAGTTTGGGCAACTTTACTTCAGTGAGTAATTGACTCTAAATATTTGTATTTTGTTGTGTTTTTTTATCAAATTATTTTAAGTGCATACAAAGCAGATGATCTGATTTTATGATAATCTACTTAAAATCTTACTTTCTATTAACTTAACAGTGACATTAATTTAAAATGAGCATTTCATATGGTGGATGTTGTCTAAAATGGAACATGGGAAAATACAGCGAATAAACCAGTAGCAATGTCCAGAACTAGACTAAAGCCCTATGCTAATGGATTAGTTGCCCGAACAGCCAGTCACTCCTACTTTCAGTTATCAGTTTTAGTGCAGAATGGTCTGGAACCGGACTTAGACTTAGACTTTTTTGATCCACAAGGGACATTATTTGGATACGGCATGAAAACCTCCATCCTAACTTGGGACTTTCAAACTACAGCTGCTAATTTGTGTCATGTGTCTCTCAAATGCTGAAGACATCTCTAAAAAATCCACGTATCCTTCAGAACAAAATATATAACTTAGTGGTTTGATTATTGATTTTGCAGTCCTTCGTGTTACTTTTAAGTCGCCATGATTGTTTTGAAACTAACGGACCATGTATTTCCCTGATAGATTAATCCACCTGTCAGTCATGTCTATCTGAGATCAGGGAGACAGGATACATACCAGACCCACATGCCTTTGTTTTTGTTTTTTTCAAAGCGTGTGGTTTTGGCCAGGCAAGTGGATTAACGCTGGTTTAGGATTGCTATGGAGCTGGCTCACTTTCTATCAGAGTAAATCTCTATGGTAACATCCTCTGAAATCATAACCAACCCATACCAGTTCAGAGATGTTAAGCTAAAATGGCGTTACCTTTGTATTTCTTGGCGGAGGGGATGCGTGTGAGTTTGGTGTCGATTTCTTCGTCCTCAGAGATCTTCAGGACAGTGGTGCGATATTCGATGACCCTCGTGAGGAGGTCGGGCCGCCGCGAGATCTCGAAGATGTGCTCGATGTACGAAAGATTGTCTGTGGAAGCAACATTGATCTTTACAATAATAACAACACACGTGAGGTCAGTTACAGCTATACTGCACTAATACTAGAGTTACATTTGATTGCATTTGTCATTTGAGTAACTGTGAAGAAATTGTTCTTTTTGGTAATATAAAAATTCTTCCTAGAATAAAAGTTTGAGCGACAAAATTTACGTTATGTTTATGTTATCTTTATGTTATCTTTATGTTGTGCTGTCATAATACTAACATTCTCAACTTGATTTTCTATTTATTTATTTTTGTATCAATGCTCAAAGGAGTATCTGATGTTGTTATTTGTTGTTGTATTTAATTGACTGTATTGATTGTATCTAGTTTCCATAGTTTGCAATCAAGATCTATACACTTGGAAAATAATTATATCCAATAAATAAATAAACAAAATATGTATGAATATGTGTTTTGTCTCATCCTAAGACCTTTTTACTTTCTGGCTTTTAACACCGCGTGAGTTGTGTGGACCTACATTGTTTTAATTGTTTGTTTTGTTGATTTTATTTATTTACTTTAATTTATTTGCTTTTGGTCTGTTTTATTGTATTGAACTGTATATATATATATATATATATATATATTTTATTTTTTTTTTCTATGTGAAGCAATTTGGAAACAGTCTTTGTTTATGAAATGTGCTACAGAAATAAAGTGAATTGGAAAATATAAAGGTGCACTATGTAACTTTTTATCTGGTCCCTCACCTGCTTGTGTCTATAGATATCTCACTGTTCTGCCTGGAATATTCCGCACTATGACATTAAACAGCTCTACTTTATATTTATTAAATTACAGGTGGTTTTATAGCTCAAAAATACCTAGAAATTCTGACTGTTCTGACTGTGAGCGGGGGTGCCTCTACACAGATCTGACCTGTAACTTGGTCAGGTTTGGTCTCCATGATGACAGAAAAGTTTAATAGCATACTGTGAAAATTTGGAGACAAAAACAATAACATCTCCATGAAGAAAAGCATTTGACAGACCCTCCACCAGAAAAGTTACACGGTGCACTATAACGTTAGAACATAGTGTGTGGACTGACCTTGTGCGAGCTTGTCATTCTTCTCCAGGTAACTGAACCACTCTTTGGAGGAGGTGATGTTGTTGCTTTGCTCTTCGGGGATGTCCTCTTTACACGCAGACTTGAGCTGCTCCAGGTCCTCGTTTGTGATGTTCTCAGACAGGTCACTGAGCAGAGAGCTGTACTCCGCCATCGTCTGGACACAACAGGAAGTACAGTCAAGACCACTGATAACACACGCAAGTCACCTTTGCATACAAAATCCAAAATGTACTTTATTAGAAGAGGAGAAGTTAAAAATTTTTGCTTTTGCTTTTAGTTTTTCAGTTAGTCAAAATGCAAGTCAACAAAACAGGTTTCAGTTCTTCATGTTGTCCAGCTTTCATTTTGTTTTTTCATCATGTTCACAAAGGGAAAAATAAAAATAATAAATTGTACTACACAATAAATAAGCTACTTGATTCTTTTTTAGAAAAACTAGTTGTAAAAAGAGACCACAAACCCCACCACTCAAAGCTACAATATGTAACTTAGTCATTGCCATAGCGAAGTACAAATGGTTTGAGGGACACAACCCAAGAAAACATGGTACAGTATATTCTTGCAAACTGATGTTCTGCTTGCACCAAACTGCTATTCACGTCTAGTCATATTTATTTATTTATTTATTTTTGAGACAATATGATATCTCCATGGAAATGTTTTTGCTTTGTATAGAATGTTCGGCAATATAGATTAAACCATCTAAACTATCAGATCTGTGGAGAGTCGCTCCTAATCATAGAAGGAATTATGAGCAATAGAAACACTTGTAATGAATGAATGCTGTATGGATATGTTTAATGTTATACCATGGAACATTCCAGGCAAAGCAAGGTGTTGTTTGGGGGCTGTCTGCATAGAGACAGCGTGCACCTTTAATATATTTAATTTTCCCATTAATCAGAACAACCAGCAGAACAACCAACCAAGCCTCCTCTCTGTGCACAAACTGTTCTTTTAATCTGTTGTATCGCCCTCCCACAGCCCGCTGCATCTGGCAACGGGAGGAGAGGCAGCAGAGCAAAGCATGCTGGGAAACTGGCACGCGTCTCGTCTGCCTCTGATCCCCTTTGGTCTCGTGGCAGCTAAACACAGAAATGAGAACCGCGATTGAGCTCCGTGTGACCTAAATATGACAGGGTGCAGTTACAAGCGGTGGCCGCTGGGGGGAGCGCACCGTCTGTGAGGCGTCGTGTTGAAGTGAAGCTTTTGTTATGTATTTGGCCTATTTTTGGAGAATTGAGTGGGTGGGAATTTATAACTTCTCCCCAGTGCAGAAATAGTTGAGTGTGGTATGCAAAATGGTAAATAAAGGTGCACTATGCAACTTTTCTTTTGAAAATCACGCCATCTGCTTGTAAATGCACAACCTTGAATTTCCATGGAGACAAGCAGGTAATAACACCAGGCCAAGTTACAGGTCAGATTATTAGGTATTAGGTATTATTAGGTATTTAAACAACTACGTGAGTAAGTGCAAAATAGATATGGTTAATGCTATACTGTGGAACATTCCAGGCAAATAAATAATATCTCCACGGAAACAAATACCAGACAAGTTGCCAAGTGCGCCTTTAACCCTGCCTGGTTCTCAAACAGTGAAAGGAGGAAGTAAAACAATCAAACCCTCAGCCTACATATGCAGGAGTTGTGTGTTAAACTTGTAGGAATGAAACAAAAAATAGTAGGTACAGTATGTCTTTGATGAGGAAACAACATTATAATGTAGATCAGAAAATAGTGTGAAATGGGCCCTTTATGTGCATGAATTTTGTGCCGTTTTAGAGCAGCTTTTTCAGATGGAGAAGTGAAGCAGAGTGGACCGCCAACGCACAGCCATGCTCTCATCCCATTATAACAGCAACATGGCTCTTTCTTCGGTTTTGTGATCCAATACATTGCTCTAGAGTTAGATATGCCTACAGATAGTATACACTAGTCTAATTTTATCACAATGTGCCCCAGATTTAAAGAGCCCATATTACGCTATTTTCTGATCTGTGTTCTAATGTTTCTTCATCACAAACACACCCAGAGTTATGTGTTTTGTTTCATTCACACACGTTTAACACTCAAACCCTGCATATTTAGGCTGAGTTCTTCTCCCAGATGAAAAACACTGGTGCAATATGTAACTTTTCTAACAGAGGTTACATCATCTGCTTGTAAATGAACAACCTTAAATCAGTCAGATCTGTGGAGAAGTGGAGCTGCTTACAATAATAATGCATGTTTTTGTAGTTTTAAGAAATAAAAACACATACTTGTAATTGAATAAATGCAAGATATGTTTGTTTAATGCCATAACGTGGAACATCATTGTCACCATGGAGACAAGCATACACCAGAAAAGTTATCCAGTACACCTTTAAGCGAGGAACAACTTAGGGCCACAGCAAATGTTTTAAAATGACTGAATAGACAGCCACAAAGCTATTTTTTCCAAACCCTGTAGATTCTTAGCAGTGTTTATGTGTAATGACAGTGGCCCCTCCTTGTGGCTGATCCTGGGTCAGTCTTATTCTTTCCGCTCTGATCCTGGACTCACGCTGAGTTTGTTTTGTGAGTAAATGTCTCCACATCTTCAGCTCCTAAAGCCTCTGTGCTCTCTCTCAGCGTGGCACAAATCACTACAGCAAGACTCAAAACAGCTCAATATGTGTCCTCAAAACTCCCCAAAGATGAGTTTAGGTTTTCACTCTGGTTGCAAATAGGCTGTACTTAAATTTTTTGTCTATGTATTTGAGCAAAATTTGTCTTGGTCCAGTATAGATATGTTTTATAAGCTGCTCTTGAGGTCAAAATACTGTAAAACTCAAAACTGGTCTCTTAAAGTTGTGAAAAGTGCTTATAAAGTCATCGTGGTGAATAAATAGGATGATCAGAATGCATAAGATAAGTGAAGAATAACTGCAAACAACTTAAAGTAAAGTAGTTCTGTTTTTCATGTTTTAAAAATCAGGAGTAGATCCCTCCCCCCCCGTTCCTACCTTTTACTTATAGTTCAGTACAAATAGGAAATTTCAGGGCTGCAGGGTTTGTGTGTTTAACATAAATGTGTGAATGAAATAAAACACAACGTCAGGTCTGTTTTTGATGAGGAAACAACATTATAACATAAGAGTAGAGAACATAGCATAATCTGGGCCCTTTACAATTTGATCTTTGGACAGATTTGGTGGTGATGGTGAACACTGTGCATTGCCAGTAGTTGAAGTTGAATCTCAAAGCTCTATGACTTCTCTACCAGCTCAATACTTCAGTGATTTATAGTAAACACAGAGAAAGTGTCCCTTCTTCACCTGCTGTTTGGTCGGTGCACCCATGCAGTCTGGATCAATGCACACATCAACAAGCACATTTCCCACAATGCAATTTCACTGTGATGTTTTTGAACGATGTTGTGTTTGTTTCTAGGGCTGTCAAAAGCATCAAAAATCACATACTAACCACTAAAACTAGTATCCAGTAATAAATAGTAATAGTCAGCGGTGGTTCTTGCAAGTCGTGACTTGGACTCGAGTCAGACTTGAGTCACTATTTTTAGGACTTGAGAAAATGGACTAAGATTTGAGGCCTGTGACTTGAGAAGACTTGATGCTTATCCTAAAGATATATATGTTTTTAGAAAATATTTCTCTCTTTGCAGTTGATAAATGCTGTACTGAATTTTACAGGAACAAACTGGAACGTGTCCCTCTCACTTATCTGTTCCTTTGAACTGAAGTACTGTGATGTGGTATTCTCAAATGTACTACAGTAATACAGTACAATACAGTAAAACAGAGGGAACTACAAAGAAAAAGAAACATGATCCTTCCATTTCAGTGCAGACGACAAGACAAAATAACTGTTATTAAGCACTTTTAAATCTGAATTATTTCTGTTCTGACTGTAATGATTCACACTAAGATTTTCTCAAGACATTTAAAAAGAAAAGATTAACATTTCTTCAACTTCAACTTAAATAAATGCTCATATATAAATATACCATGACTTTTTAAGTACAATTTAGTTTAAAATTCGTATATATATATATATATATATATATATATATATATATATATATATATATATATATATATATATATATATATATATATATATATACATAGACTAGTGTACACCCATGGACCACTCAATACTAGGCTCTGCTGCTAACATGATAGTTTTGTTCGCCAAGCATGTCCGCGCAACACACAAGTTGGAATATTTATAACAACTTAAAATTATTTTAAAGTATCATGATATGCATCCCTGTATCAATACACATCCAAGAACGTCATCACAACATATTACCTTAGAAATACTTTGAACACAGCACTATGATACAGACGTCAATGTGGTCTTGATTTGAATATGCAAATAACACTCTATTGCTCTGTGTGTGTGTGTACGTGTGTGTGATTTGTGTTGTGTGTGGTGTGTGTGTGTGTCTGTATTTTGCTTCTATAGAGAAAGAATGTGCCTCCCTGCGCTCTGCTTTGCACCACAATAGACCCTCCGCAGCTTTTGTTTCATTTCAGACAAAAGTGAAAACCAAAACACAAGTACTACTTTAAGTGTGCGTGCTCAAAACACTTCACTCAAAAGTGTCCTTCTGATACTACTTTCCACTTTCTACATTTTCATCAATATAGTAGAAGCCATTTATTTAAAGAGGTACTGTGTAACTTTTCTTGTGTAGTGTCCTCCCTTTTCTTATCTCCACGGGCACAATACGACTTTAATCTTAAATATCTTGCAGCTATTCAATTACAGATGGTTTTGTTGATCAAAAACATCTTGACAAATGTGCATTCTTGCTGTCAGTGGGTGGCTGGTGGTGTCATTTGCTCGTCTCCATGGAGATAGACGAGTTTAATGCCATACTTTGAATATTACATGCAGAGCAACATCTTCACGGACACAAGCAGATTAAATGTGAAATTATTATTATATTCTTATTAGGACAAATTTGGTCAGATTTGTGTAATTGTAAAAATACTGATACATTTTGATGCCAGCCCATAGTAGTATTATTTATGGAAGAAAGTTGATGTTATTATAGAAGTTTTTAAAAAGCCTCAAAATATAAATAGCTACTTTGTCATTTTTGTTTATTCATTTATTCTGTTCAAATCTGGTGCTTTTCCTGGCTGTTTTAGACATTAC